TCCCTACTTATTTTTTCAGACTAGCGCCTGGCAGGGGAGCTGCCAGGTTCCTGTCTTGTACATCCTTTGCTCCTCCGAGGTAGGTAAGGATAGAAAGTCTTTGTACTCCCACTGAAGCAAAGACTGTGTCTCTGTCTGCACTTTTGATTGTTCATGTAAGCTTAAGGACTAGGAAGAACATGGAATATTCTAAATAAAGAAATGCAGAATGCACACAAATTCATGGACAGAACTGAAAATACCATTTAGGTATTCTGAATGAACACACTAGTTCATACAGGAAGAGACAACCAACTTTACAGACTCGCTGAAGCACCGTACATCTATCCACACAGTTATTTTCCGTTTTCAAGAAAACGGCAATAGCTACACTGCCATTAAAACCTGCTTGGCAAAAGGACAGAACTACTGAAAGAAGAATTAGTGGCTTAAGAAAGCTGAACGCTTTCTTGGATAAATGTGGATAAGAAAATATGCAGAACAAAAACCCCCAAGAATACCTAGAGTCAAAAATAACAAAGAAAGATGACAGCAAATAAGAACAGGAAAAAGAAATTTACCACCTTCAGGGAAGATACCAGCAGTGAAACGAAGATGAAGTAGGTCAGTGTCAGACTACAAGGATATGTCAGGGTTCCTAACCCTCCCTTCCCCATACACCTTTTTTGTGCATTCAGATATATTTAGCTCCCATTTGCCATCAAACATGAGATAGCAAAATCACTATAATAACTCGGCCTTATACAATGGTGTTCTATCAACATACACGTCTGCGCGACACTACCCCTACTATAAAAAAAAACAGACTCCAGGAAAATTGTCTAAACACTAACCCCATTACCGTATCTTATCTGTATTACTGTTTCTCACATGCCAAGGTAATAGGCCTCTCAAAAATACCTTAGATAGCCAGATAGCTCACTTGTAGCACGTTTTCCTGGTTTACCTTTTGTTAAATAAAAGTTCAGTTCAGTGAAAACTGACCGTAACTTTTCCAATAATGTGAATGCACATGCTTTGATTTGCTTTTTCAGTGATCTTGATCCCAACTTTTGCATTCAAATTTAAACAGTGTTTAAACTTTTGGTGTTTAAAAACACCGAAAGTATGTAACTTCAGGAGCCTGGCAAAACTAATTACGTCATTCTGCTTCTTATCAATTAAATTCATTCCATTGACATTGCCTGGAAGTAGTGTTTATATTTAAATCTATTAATGAGGGCAGAAGATAGCATGAGCAAAAGGAAAACAGTCAGTAAGAGTTCATGCTCTGCACTGCATGTTACTATGAGCTTATAAAAAGGGATGGACTTCTGTGTGTCTATGCAATAACACAGCTTAGCTCACTCTGCGACACCATTTATTTACCAAATTAATTTCCAAACCAGTAATCTCAAAGGTTTTGTTTACCTCATACCATACACATGAAATACAGAAGTGGTCAAATCCACCCTTTTACAAAATCGCTGATTTAAAAAAAAACTTTTACAGTTAGCGAATCATTTCACAGCTTCGCTGGTGCTGATCTACCTCAGGCAAAAGTCGGTTTATAGAGGTACCTATTATGTAGTTATCCCCTTAAAAACCTGTCAAAAACAGTTCCTGTATTTGGGTCACAGACCACAGAGAAACGTATATTAAAAAATCCTTAACGCTGGTATTGCTAGCCATTCAACAGGAGCTTGTTTCCCAGAATGGAGCAATTTTCCTCTAAAGCAGGTTATTGTTCTGGACAAAATAACACAGGAAATATATGAATATGAGTCAATCGACTTTTAACTCTTTTACATCAAATTAGTGGTTTTCAACTTTTCCAGTGCAAATCCCTTCTGAAACGTCACGCATATACACTAGGCACACACTTTCTGAGGCCGTTTGCTGCACCCCCGTTAGAAGTGTCTACGATCCTGATGTTCAGCGAAAACCAGAGCTGTAAATAATGAAAGTCAGATTTCTGGCAACCAAATACTTACCCAAACCAAAAATTTCTGTTTTACGGATCTGAATACAACAGCTGTTGAGACAGAAAGATAAAACCTTAATTCCCTAAATCGATCCTTTCTTTCAGCATACCTCCCTACATCTCTCTGCGCTATCTCCTGTGTTAGGACAACTCAGATAAAGCAAAGGTTGCTGTACATGAACATACACACTCAGTGGGGCTAATCCTCTCACTAGAACCGTGCCTTTCTTGAAGCCTAAGTTTCTCAAGAGGTGCAATTATGCAGAAAACACAGAAGTTTCTACTTTTCATACTTTTGGAGAAATTCTTGCGTGCTCTGCTCCGAAAGCTCAAAAAAAAAAAAAAGACATAAGTAAATAATAGTATCCCAACATTCATTTTCTAAAATTCAACTTTTAAACCCAGTCTCCTAGCTTTCTGGGAGAAGACTCATGACTCTGAATGCTCAAAGCCAACAGTTCTCCATACCACGACAGAGATGGACCCAGCAGGATAACGCCGGGTGGCTATGACGTTACGTAGGTTTGTCAGGGCCACGATTGTGATCGCGTGTGCTCGGGACTACCAGAAGAGAGCCCTGACCCAGGCCCCCCAGGAGACAGTACCACAATTTTAATACCCACTTTTGATCTCCCACCTTGCTTTTAAATCAGACCGCGGCACTTATTTTACGCGAGTTCAAACGACTACACAGCGCGCGAGGCACTGACAAATCAGTTACCACACAACAGCGAGCGCTAAGCAATGCATTTTCCAGTGCTGAATAAAGTCAGACCCGCGGCAACAGGTTTGGTCGTACCAGTGGTTTGCAAGAGGGCACGTTCCTGCGGAGCCAGGGGTAACGAAGGCTCTCTTCGGGCAGCCCGTATGCGCCGTTGCGAAAGCCGAACAAAATGTCAAGCCTTATCATAACAGAATAGGACAGAACAATGCAAGATCCTGTTCCCCTGCTTGAGTTTGTCATTTATAACCAGAACAAAATTATAACTGTAACTCTTTCTTAACCGAAATGAAACGAAGAGAATATGCAAACTAAACAAGCTATGCATATCTCAAGTCTGAGCTTTTATTCCCCTCCTAAAAAAAACCCCTAAACCCTCTTCTCCTGCTGAACACCAAATTAAAAACTTACCTAAATGTACACGGAGGAAAAACAATTCAGTACTATAAAAAAATTGATTACACAGTCATTGAAGTTTCCTGGTCTGATTTTTTCCACTAACCTTAGGACTGCTGACGTACATAATGTATTAAGCAAGTGATAAAAGGGAGGTTACTGCATTTTATCAAGGGAGCCAGTCAGGGGCAGCGGCTGTTACCTAAGAAAGCTAGTTTCTCTCTGTTCGCATTATCATCTCCTTCAATCCCACCCTTAAAGCACATATATTTTTACTAAAAATATAAATATTTTTTATCATTGTTTTGGTATCTACTCCAGCTCTTACCAGGGAGTTCACCAAGCGGCTATAGCCCTAATGGCTTTAGTGTATTTTAATGGACCAGTGAGACAAGGAAACATTAGTAGTCGCTCAACGGTCCAAAAGATAGCTAACCTCTACATTTAAGTGACAGGAAAAAAAAAAAAAAAAAAGATGAAGAACCCATGCTACATAATTGCTAATAAGAGCGGAACAAGGGTACAAAAAGGAAGAACGAAGGAAAACATGAGATGTCACAGAAGTCCGAGGGTTTAGCACACCTCTGCGATGGAGGCAACGCGCGTCACAGCCTCGCATGCACAGCGCCGCTGATTCGTCTCCCTGCCCCCAAAACCACAGCTGCGGCTGAGCCCCTTCCTGGCACCGACAGCTAACAAAAAGCAGAACAGCCAACCGACCTGGCTGCATTTAATTTCGCAATCTTAAAAAGAGGAAAAAAGGTAAAGCAGCAGGTGAAGAAAGATGCTGAACTCCGAGAAGGTGAGAAGGAAACTACTGTGCAAGAGCTACTTGTAGGTTGTTACGGGCTTTGGGGGACAGGAGAACAAACGCAACTCTACTTTTCGTTACAACAAGACAAATTTTAAACAATATCCAGCTGGGTACTAACCTAAGTGGCATTTGGCAGAAAATACCCTAAGAAATCTCTAATTTATAGAGGCAAACAAAATTCAGCCTGTTACAAATGCTGAATAGGGCACATTCAATCTTCTTAGCCCATATGAAAAACAAAACTAAAAAGACTAGCTATCAATGACAACCGCTAATGTCATCTCACTGTGTTAAAGGAAGGTTTATTTTAATGAGCAATGTCATATTACCCTCTCAGCCATTTCAGTCAGGGCAAGTTTTAAGTAACTCATGAGACCATTTACAGCACCAGTCTCATTTCTGAGGTCAAAATTATTCTGTAAAAGCAAAATCTACAGCGGGTTAGTATTTTTCACCAAGTAAAACATATCAAGAAACAAAATGTGATTTATTGTGTTACCTGCACTCAACATCGCTGCATCTAAGAACCCATTTATGTGAAAAGGGGAGGACTTATCCTAATGAGACGCGACAGACCGTCACACGGAGGAGAAGCAGCATTAACCTGCCCTCAGCGTCTGAGAACCCATGTAAACAGAGAAACCGTACAAGCTTTTTATCAATGTGAGTGCCCGAACACAAAATGAAAAAATAAATCAAAATATCCTCATAGGGAAGGACGGAGTTTGAACGACGTGGCTCGCTTTCCTTACCGCAAATATTAAGTGGGATATGAATCGATTTCCTTTTACTTAAAGCCCGTTCCAGGTGATACACTCTCGCCAGTGCAAAGGGACGGCACATTCACAACACACAGCAAATAACGGATTAACTTGAATTAACAGCAAAACAAATCCCTAACATACCAGGATGGAGAATACAGATTAGACAAATACATATGAATAAGATGGTGAAAAAGTAGCCTTTTTTATTTTGGAAGTAAAACAAACAAATTAAATCCACCAAAACAACAAACACGCATTGCTCAGCAAATTCTACACCACCTTGTATCAGTAAAATATATTATAAGGCGGTCTCAGTTTTCCTCACAGTGAGTTGAGAGGCCCCAGCAATCAGTGAGCACAACACACACACCCCTGCAGCAATACAGACAGACAGTCAGTGCCCGTGCTAAGGCAGACAGTCTTTCCAACTGATGGGCCAAGTTTCAGACGACAAGTTTACCTCTGAATAGCCGTAAAATTTTCTGCAAAACCGAACAGGAGAGTAATGAGGTGGGAAGTGGCATACATCTGGAACTACTACTGTAAGTATGGTGTACGTGTAAGTATGGTATGGCCCAGCTGAACAAAAGCCCAAGTTCCTAGGTTCAAGAAGGAACAGCTTCTTCTGCGTTTAGGCATCCGTTCACGACCGCAGATACTGCAAAAAGATACCATGATCCAAAAGCAAAGCAATCCTTCCCTTCTTATACTTAACGCCAAAAAATGCGTTGTAAACTGCTTTTATTTTCCAGGGATAATACTTGTAATGACACTACACTTCAATGCCCATTGGAGCTAATACACAGAACAGGGACAGAAAATTTCTAGACAGGCTCACTTTGTCTCTGAATCCAAAGATGTCACCAGAATCAACATGGGTGGTTTCCAGATGTATATACCTGCTTTCTTTTTAAAAATGGCGACTCTCAAAACTTTCTGATGCTATATTAACCTGTGATAAAGAGAAAGCTTGCTTACATTTTAAAGCCTGAAACAAGTTTTCCTCAAACCACTAACGCACGTGCACATACGCTTAACTCTATGCACATACGTTCCACTCAAATTTGTACAATCGCTGTCACGAGTGAAGTTAAGGGTAGGCACATAATCACACGTAGAACTGGAGCCTGACATTAGAAAAACTTTTTGCCCCTATTACTAGATTGCAGGAAACGTTCATTGTTTTGGATACAGCTCCTGGGATGTGTGCTTAATCTCAAATGTTTCCTCTGATGCCTGCAAAAACTTCCAGCTTCCCCTGACATTTTCAGAATGCAGTTAGGATTTTCCAGCTCACAAATCTGAAGCATGTTAAAACTTCAGAGGGCACGGCATTAATTCTATTCCACTTAATATCAAAATAAAGGGATATTACACTAGTTTTATCAAACTGGGAAACAGATGTAAAAGGGAGACACCTTGGGTTAAGGAGCTGGAACTATGGGATCCCAACTAAGCAACGCAAATACAAATTCTTCAGACAGTTTTCAAGAAATAAAAAATATGTGCCAACTGTCTGTTTTCAAACTTCCCTTTCATACTTTACATTTAGACCTATACATACGGATTTTTATCATGTTTGATCTACTTTTTGTCACTTTCATTCACAAAGCTGGAATTTTAAAATCCATTTAAGGTTACGTCTCTACTGACCTAAACCAAAAAAAAAAAAAAAAAGGGAGAAAATGCATTTTGAGAGATCCTTGAGGATCTTGGAGCATTTTTGACTTGCTTCTTGAAAATAGAATGACTCATACGCCAAAGATGAAATCTTTCCGCAGGCACAGCATAGAAGGACTTACCGGTCTGTTGTGTTCTTTTCGGATAAGTCTTACTGCGACTTCTTTCAACACTCTGGTCAGGCCGGGGAAGCTGAATAGAAAGGTCTCTGGTCATTTGCAAAGCCGTCCTGCCACTTGAAAATGCACCAAAATTACGTTAAAAAAAATCAGATAAACACATGGAAAAATGCAGGATCTAAGAAATAGGAAACATTTAGATTGAAAAAAATGCATGTGGTTTGGCAGTACTTTTTGTTAGCTATTCACTTCTCATCCCAACTCTACTACTCCTGCTCTCAGCATCGGCTGCACATAGCACTACCCTCTCTGCTATTTATTCACTTCTGTTTTGAATCAGACAATGGCAGAATCATCAAAAGATTGTGTTGATCTCTTCTAGATTTCGTATTTTCAGGGGAGCTAAGCAACCAAAACCGAATGGTGGTCTATTAGGAAGGGGTTGAGATAGTGTGACCTTTTGTAACCTCCTAGCTTCTAACACACAACTTTCTTAAATAATTTGATTGTTTTATTTCCTGAATTCTCTTTGTACATTTTTATCTCAGTAAAACACGTATTTCAGGTTGTTCAGTTGCAATCAGAAAGCGGCTACTTGCTCTACCATAGGGAAGTGACGATAAAAACGGCATGAAAAACCCCGTGCAAAGCAAACTGTAATAACGTACTCTCACTAGCACAGGCCTGACTGATATTAAATTGAGTACAAGACCCAATTCCCATTTATAGTATAGCTCTTTTCCATCACACAGTGGAAAAAGTCACTACAAGTATAAATAAATTATTTTATGCTCATGTTAAAGCCCCTTTCCGTGTGACTAGGCAGAATAAAGTGGTCATAATACAAATGTGAACCAGGCCCCATACTCCTCCCCAAAACTCTTGGTTCGCTTCAGGAAACTTATCATACAAAAGAAGTAATTGTTAACAGTAACTCCCAATTACTCTGACACCTGCAGTTCCATGTTTTAAAAGCAATCAGATGTCTTGCTAGCTAGTGCCAAGCAATTATTCCAGGCATTACATGTGTAGATATTCTGAGCTATGTGAATAGGCTCCACTAGGATGACTGTGTTTTCACCAATAGCACCACAGGAGTAATCAGCACTGCAGAATTTTGATCTTCTTAAAATCTGTAAAAGGATTAAAGGACAAAAAAATCTCTAACGTTGCATCAAAGTAATGCTGTTTTTCGATATTCAGTTTCATGTTCTTTTGTTCCCAAGTTAGGCAGAAAACATTTCCGCTCAACTTTTAAGTTCTGTGGCCATGCTAGTCTTGCAAATTCCAAAAGCAATTTTAACGAAAACACCTGGGGATAAGACCTTCCATTCACACTAACACCTCTGTGTAATTAACCAAAACATCTGATCTTAAGGGAGAGAAATTGTTTTCTTGGAATCTGCCTGCCACCTAACAAGAAGTACCTGGAAGATTTAAAAACACACCATAATATTATGGTCCCAATACATACACAGTCCAAGAACAGAATCATGGCTTCTGCTTCGACCTAATGATGCATGCAGATACACAATACTGTCACTGCTTGTGGTGCTACAACAGTTACAAAAGGCAAAGAAAAAAAAAAATCAAAGCTGAGGGATAAACAAAGGAAAGATATTCAAGGCACATGAAAATGCTGTTAGCTATGCTTGTTTCTCTGCATTCCAAGGAGAGTTAATGTGTCAAACACCAATCGATTATCACCATATATGATTAACACTGTGTAATCAATGTGCTATAACTACATGTCACATTCCAATTTACTAGAGCATCAGCTCAAATCAGGGGGAAATCCTAAACAACCACTACAGCAAAACGGGGAACACTATACTAGAACAGAAAGCTACGCTTAAATATGTTCTAGACAAAACTAACATTAACAAAATTGCTGGCGGTAACAATTGAACCGACGTGGCAATTCAAATCACAGATCAACACTGGAGCTGTTAATAAATTAATTAATTAATGAATAATAATAATAAAAAGAACCACCACGTCCAAGAGAAAAGGGACTCAATGTACCAGTTGCAGAAAAGACTCAAACACAGTAACTGCTACACTCTACTCGTAGGAAGGTCCTAGTAGACAGAAAGCTTTCTTTTCCTACAGCACATAACCTGCCATGCTCCCATCAGCTGAAATGGTCCAGCCTGGAAAACTCTCATCTTCAGTACTCTGGCAGGAATTCAGTGTATTCCATACCAGTTTCACAGATGAGGTTACGCTGGTCAGGATCAAACTGGAAACCCCAATGGCAGTACAATCAATCCTCCGTTTACAAGAGTAAGGGGAAGCTGGGGCGCAGCAGATAACATGATGAGCCACATACATCGGAGAGGAGGGCACAGAAACACACCAGTGATCCTGCCTGGACACAATCCAGATTCAGTCAAACAAGCTCAGACTCAGCACAGTCATCTCTCCATCTGTAACACAAGCTAGGTCTTAAATCCTAATCAACCAGGGACAAGTGTAATAGAGCTACTACTGCACACTACTGTTAGTAGCTACTATTGCAATCCAGGAGCCGCTTGAATAACGGAGAGTTACGGTTGTTGGGTTTAGGATATCTTCTAGGGGGCACTGACAAAGAACTGCCTAACAAATAACACACCATCAACGTTACCTATGGTAACATATGTACTCCTTGAGCGACGGTGGAAATGCAAACAGGAAAAAGACACACAGACGAGACAAAAATAAACCTAAACCCTAAACAAACTGGTATATTTGCAGGACATGGAAAAAACCTCTAGAATTTGTGAATATAGCATACAGAGCTCCTTCACCCAGCAGCTTCAAAACAACTACAAAAGAAGAAAAACTATTTTTAGCCCCACTTGATAAACAGGGCCAATGAAGATGGAAAAAGAAAGGGGCTTGGCTTTCAGATGTGATCTTGATTTGCTGCTCCACATCCTCCTCTTCAGGTTCACTGAATACGCACTGAAAATGCAACTCTAAAGCAATTCTAAATATCAGGCCATAAATTATTTTCCTCAAAATTGTTCAGTCAATATGACAGAACAGGATTTAACACAGGGGTCTCCGAATGCCAAACCCAGTGTCTTTCTCACTAGACAAAGACCCTGTTGTTTCAACAGGCTTAAGGACCCCAGGCTCAATAGAAATATTGGGTTTCTGTCATATTTCTGTTTTTTCTAAATCCCGTCTCCTGCTAGTCCTTTGTGGCCCTACAGCTAGAGTTATCTTAAGTCCTCTCCGCTTGCCACATCTTCCTCTGCACCGTTGTATTAACTGTCTTTTATGTCACACTGTCTAGTTGGTTAACTCAGGTTAAAACAGAGTAACTGCTCCCTGTACACCCTTTGCCTGAAAGTCTGCTGCTTCTTTCAGACATAAAAAGAGCTTGCAGGCTTGAAAGCTTATCCAGTTTTTCCCAGAGAGTCCAGTTAGAAAAGATATCTCCATTTCCCTTTAGGTCTTCCCTCATTTTCATTCATAAAACAGCAGCGCTACAAAAGCATTGCTGCTACAGGACGAGATACAACCAGTCACATCAACAGCCCTTGCAATAAGTCAATTACAATGCCCAAGTAGCTGTAAAGGAGGGCCTCACAGTTGCGGATTTCCTACGCTCTTCTGCTTGTACCATCCCTTTGCAAACTCCCTGATGACAGGTGACGGCCAGCCTGCCTCCCTGCCTTCGTATTCCCCAGCTGTCAGGGAAAAAATCTTTAGGATATTAGAGCAATTTCACAACTTAACAATGAGATTTTAACTTGAAGCACTGCCAAGGTTCCTCTCTCTTTCACTAACGGCTACAGCAGGTCCTAGCCAGCTCTAGGAATCTGGACAATGAAAAGTCACTTCTACATTTGTCCTAACACTGCCTTCCAAGGCCTCAGACACAGACAAATGGAGTCAGCTAAAACGGCCCTGAGTGTCCCTTTGTGAAAAGAACTGCTCCGAGTTACAGTCTGGGTAGGGTGAGACATAACTGTTTTCTGTAATTGGAAGAAAAGAGAAGAAATAGGAATAATGAAAGAATTAATTGAACAGACGTTTACACAAAGAAATAAATTTACCTGTACCGATGTTTATAACCTATGGATCCAAACTTGCTGAATTTTCTTGACAGAGAGTTTGACTCATTCTCTGGCATTCTACATAATTTGAAAAATAAAACAACAGAGTAAGTTCACGCTGATAAGTCCCAACTAGACTCCTTTTCCTAAGAGGAGGAACAATAAATACAAACTTAAATTCTGAAAAATAATTTTCTCTTAACTCCTCTTCATCCCCACCACCAGGCAGACTCTTAACGGGTTCAGAGTTCCACAAAGCCACATGTTTACGTCCTCTTCTTTTGACTATACATCTCTTTATTTTAGGGTCTGCTATAAACTGTTGGCAATAACAGCCTTTTGCTCAATATTTCACGCTGGCAGGCAAAAACACCATGGCACAGAAACGGGCAGGAATTCTGAGCTTACACCTTTAAAATACTGTTAAAGCCAGCCCTAAGCATTCCACGAACAGATTCCTAGCTAAAGACCCTTGTGTATTTTTACTAGTGATTTTGCAATAGTAACCAAACGTGTTTTGAGAGGTATAATACTGGAAACGTTTTTATACACTCCAACAAAGCTTCAGTGAGTCACTCTATCAAAAATTCTGCATACAGCAAAGAATGCTATTCAAAAAATCATAGGTAATAGTAACATGTGAAATCCAAAAGCCTGAAGTCAATGCTGCAACAGAGAATGTAATGGTTACAGCTTAAATCCCACCATATACGTACGTGGATACTTCTGTTACAACATACTTCATGCAAGTTGAGATATGCTGTTTTAGAAAGAATTCTAAGACAAAATGAGCCACTGAACTACTGAAAGATTTTAAAACGATTGTTTTATAGCATCATAAAAAAGGAAGGCATCAACTTTCAAGAGTATTCTATAATCAAGAGGAAACAAGAGTTGTCAGGTAGCAAGTCTGTGACACCACTTTCAGCTATAGCAAGGTTCTTATTCAGTGCAGTGTCCCTCATTTCACTAATGAAATCACAATAAACTTCAGCATCACTCACCTGAAAAATGTATGATGTTCTACACAACATTTCCAGAGATGCTTGCATGCAGTCTTGTTACGTGCTTCAAAAAAGAAGGAAGTTTCATTGCACTGAAAACAAAACAAAAGAAAGTCAATGCTGCTATGAAGGATTCTGCCAGTGAAGTGAACTTTCATCTACTGAGCATGAGAAGATATCATCCACATATCACTGTACATAAGACATGAATAAGAAGAAATGTAGGTCCTATAATTTTGTACAATTCTTCATTTAAAGGGTTTTTTTTTTGTTTCTCATTGCCTGAAAATAATTATTTAAAGGATTGATTCCTTAGACACGGAAAAAGAAGAAGAACAAGGAGACTACTGAAACAATACCGTTCCTCGATTCCGGTCCATAGATGTCAGCTTCTTCCTAACTAAAAAGCAGAAAAGGTTTTTCATAAAGTCCGTTTCTAAAACTGCACCTCACGTGGTCAAAAAAAATATATATATTCTTCTTAGGGCTCTGTTTAACAGTATATTCAGGAAAAGGAACAGCACAATGGAAGATTTGTTATAAACAACTACGGAGCAACAATGCACGGAGAAAATGCACAGGACGTGCACGTAGAGAAAAAAATGAGGTAAAACTGGAAATCAAAAAGGTGCGTGGAAGGAAAGATAAAGGAGTAACATTAACTTCAGAACGATTCAAAATACTTGAAAAAAGGGTCAATGGAAAAAGACTTAAAATCCACCTGCAGAGGGAACAGTTACGGGAAGACAGACAACAAAAAAGAATATTCAAAAGCTTTAAGCCTATTCACAGGAAACAGGCAGTCAGTAGAGCAGACACGAAGAAACCACAAACTACAGGGAAATACAAAAGAGAAGTCAGACATCCACAAACTGTGAAATACTTCCAAGAGACAAGAAGAACCACCAGAGAAAGAAATACAGGACTTGCACTTATGTCCTTTGCTTACTGAAATATCCTGCTGGTAACATATATTACAACAGGCACAAATCTGACCTAAAACTTAATGTGGGAATCATACACTTTGTAATGTTTTAATTTTGTGGAAGGTCATAAAGTCACGAGAACTCAGTGTAAAATTACAACCTGCCCATGAAACGTGATACCTACACTACCTGTACAACAGATACCTACAACAAACTAGTTTTTAACGCAGCTATATATTTCCTTTCTGTAAGAAAGTGGAAAATATACCAAAACTGCACCAGTACCTATGACAGCACATCCTGCAAATGAATCAACTCTTTCTAAGCGCCATAAATAATTTCAGCTACCAAGCTGCCAAGTCAGACACTAAGAAAATAAGAAGCCCTCTTCTTGTAATGCTGACGTCAACATCAACATTTTCAAAAAAAATTAACATCAAAAGCTTTGTTCCTAAACCCATATTTAGGCACTTCTACAAATCAGACCAAACTGCTCATAGAGAGAAACAGAAACCAATCTTGATCTATTTTCTATTTATTCTCTTTATATTTTCCATTTTCTTTATATTCTCTATTCTCTTTCGCGTGTTAATCAGGAACAACAGCTCTCAGACACATTATTCCACTTGTTTCCAACAAGTTAAACATTCAAAACGGTTCACATAAAATGCATTTCCAATTATCTCTCACTCAGTAAACTTAAGCGCTTAGTTCTGTATCTGCTATCTGCACAAGGAACAAATAGTCCCACTAACTTCCGTGCGAATTCTCCGCATAGTACGATACTGTCAGCAACAGCGACATAAGCGAGCCCTACAATCGTTTCCTCAATATCTCAATCGTACAGGGGGTATGACTCACCCCACTTTCGGCAGCTGGCTTTAGGAAACGGCTGCTCTCATGTAGGTTATGGTTCTGCAGCACCATGCGTAGCGGGGTAAAGAGCTGTGGCAGGTTTCTCTCATTCTCCAGTTAATTAGCTATTGTGACCTGCGAGCACCTTGCAAACTGTGAACTAATTCAGTATGTTCTCTGGACTTCCCTATTTCACAAAGAAATCCATTACATCCTTATGGAAGGCTGTCAGGCAGCCTCCCAAAATCACAAATTATCTGCTCAAGCAGCCTTTCCTGCAACTTCAAACAAGTCACAGCAAAAATGACAGAACTTTGCAAACTGAGACTTCATTCCCTGACAAAAATAAAAATTGGAGACATACTCATGAGCTCATTTCCTTAGTTAAACTTCTCCAGTGGAAAAATATAAACGGCTGGCTGGGACAGTCACAAGAAATATCCAAGGAATGAAAATCCCCCTCTAGTCTTCTCTCAAAAAGCATGTTTTCCCCTCCGGGGCATCACAGCAAGGAAAGAAGAGTACAGTAAGAAATATGGCCACTGTAAATATTAAAAAGTAGGATTTATCTGAGATTGCTATGTTGCATAGTATAAAAATGATTAAATATTAAATTAGTCCGATAAATATATTCCTACAGTTATTAACAAGACAATCTCGGGCTTCATAGGGATCTTAACCTCTCTACAGGATACGCAAGGGGTTTAACTTGGAGCAAAAGAGGTAAATCTAAAAACTTTAAAACTTGTCTACAGCAAATCCAACACCTGGAAGCTTCATGGGGAATCCTGAGGACTGCCAAGGAGAAAAACCCATTTACGCTGGAATTTTCAAGAGTAATCACGCTGCTCATGCCCCTCTGGCAATCAGTCTACCCACTGAAGTGGAACTAAGACCTTCAGGGGAGAAATATCAAGCAGTACTTCTCCTCTGCTTATTTTACATGTAAAAGAAACATAGTTTCAGGTTTCATTATTTAATTTATACTAAAATTTCTAGATCAGACTGTCACCTGGTGTGATTTCACATAAATCCACACAGCTCTAGTCACCGGTGCAATTTTAAACAATAATCTCAGATCAGATCTCTGATATTACAGACTTTCTGCAATATGATGATTCATTTTAACTTCTATTAGGAAAGAACCGAATGACTCACATTTAATATGCAGGATCTTGCTCCTTCTTCCTTCACTCCTAAATTTTGTGTTTAAGCAAAGAATCCTCTGCTGCACTTACATTTATTTAAGGAAATAACGTGAGAGGAGAAAGTTTGGGGTTTTGTGGGGGAGAAGTCAGGATATGTTCTGTTTTTTTAAAGGGACTTTTAAAAATAAGGTATTTCTGCTATTTCTTATTATTGGCCCAGTTTGAAGTCCACTGAAATTAAGGGAAAGATTCTCATTAGGGAAAAGGTTCTACTTAGTCTGTTTATCTATTTTTTATTCTTCATAAAGTTTTGGAATATTCCCATATATAAAACAAATAATACCTAACACCTGAAAATCAATTAGCACCTAAAAGAGAGAAAGTATAGCTACAGTTTCTTGCAATTGAAAGATTTCAACAACAAATATTAGTGATGCCATTCTTTGAAGAAATTATTTTCTAAGGGGAAGAAAGCTCATCTCAGTCGATAAGTAAAAAATGTTGATGATAAACTATGGGTTGAAATGCCCATACTTATCATGCAGCAATTAAAGGCATTAAGGAAGAAACAGTGCCACCCTGCAGATCAAATTTATCAACCAGGTAAGATACGGAATTCAGATTTGCAAAACGAAACACTGTCCGCAAAAAATTAGGAGAGGAACCAATAAGCTTTCTGATGACACTCAGACTCATTTAGTTGTATTCAACGGAATAGAACACCTCTGAAAACTAACTGTCATCTCAGGATGGATGCTTGTAACGAGTCAAATGGCACAGCTAAATTTTATCAAGGTAGGAAGCCTAAGAAATTCATCGCCCAGGTCTTCGACCAACACAGAGGAGACAATTCATAATCCTTTTATCATTTTTCAATTTTTCTTAGAAGGATTCAGTAACTTACCGCAACTAACCCCAATATGACTCTGCATACAGCATATTTAGGTCTAGGATTTCCTCCATTTACTTTTAAGCTGGTTTGATATATTCTAACAGCACTGTGACTACCCTCACAATATACAAGTGCATATTTAAAAATAAAGCAGTACTTAAGGCAGTAACATCTCCTAGGTTTAATCACCCTCCCCTAAAGAAAGAAACTATGTGTATAGGTAAAGCAAGGATGATCTTACACAATATCATGCACTTTTTGTTTCCATTAAGAGGCAACATCTTTACCATCTTGAACGATTATAACTTCTTTACAGACAGGGAGAGTTAGCTGGCGGGGGGGAGGGGGGGGGGGGGCTGTCTAATTACTGTACCTGAACCACAAGAAAGAAAGAGCTATTGTGCTTTTACTGATGATTTACAGGAAACAACAATTTCATACACAAATGCTCAGTGTTGTTTGGTGCCTCACAAACTACTCCCCGCTATTTATGCTGCTGCTTTCAGAGTGCCTAGCGTACTGAAGGTGAGGTGGCACAAAACGTGATGGCAACCGCTTCAGAGCGGCCCTGGTCCACCTGTCCACGCCGAAGTTTGCCCTCACCTCTGGCCGTGCAGTGCTTCCCTCTCCTCTGCCCCAGCTTTGGTGTTTGTCTCATCTTTCAGGAAGCCGACTGCGCTAGCCAAGCAAGCAGAAAAAGCGTTATTTTTGTACGATGTTTTTTGGTCGTGTCTGTGACTTGCACCAGCTCCCTTGAGGGTCAGACAGGCATCAGAGCTGGGGTACAGAAGAAGGCAGGACCACATGGCCCAAGGCAGCCAAGGAACAGAAGTGTCCCTTGCAGCACCATCTAGTAGTTGTTGGGCTGCCTGTCTTCTAATCCTGAGAGCGCCAAGCAACTACACAAGTGGGAGGACAAATATAACACACTCTTCTCTTTCTAAATACTTCAGTAGCTTGTCCCGCAGTCTCTAGCGCACGCGAACGCTCATACTGCCACAGCATACTGCCACTGCCATTTTTACCTATGGGAGGGACAGATCAGCACATGGGATGCACATAGTTTGACTACACTATCTTATAACATACTTATAATACACTGTCAATCAAAAGTAGCCACAGCCTTTAATTGTTTTATGTTGCCTCTCAAAGCAGCTAGAAAACGGACCTGGCAGGGCATTGGAGATCTTCTCCACTAAAAGGTTGGTAATCGGCATAGCACTCCACCATCTGCTCCCCTCAAAGGAGACAAGCGACCTAACCCTCGCCGG